ACTTGTGTTAAGCTAAACTTTGGAAAATTACTTATACTTCTCCTCCAATCAAAAATGAGTATTGGTTATATTTCTTCAGTTGGAGTTCCACCGAGTTTGTTTACACATTCATGTGCTGAAGGGGGAAAGCGTCTCTGTGCTCATCTTTAATCTGATGCGTACGAACGAGCACGCTTTTGTGATGTCTCGTTTTGTAAGTCCTGGTCCAGCAGCCTTTATTTTTATAAAAGCTGCTGGAATAAAAGAGTTTTTATTTCACACACTGAAATCTTGGGTCCAATAGTCTTTTAATAGAGATTCTGGATTTTTCGATGAGAGTGGAGGAGCAAATTAAATTTGAAGATTTTTTTTAACAAAGCGATTGAGTCCTTTATGTGGACAAAACCCTATCAGACTCAAATTATTATTCAAAGCAGGGTCTTTTTCTTGTATTTGTTCCTTATATCTTATCATGTCTAGGATCTCCGCAGCAACAGTTCTTTCCAGAGTCAGTGTCTCTGGGGATGATCCACCTTGTTGTCAACATATTTGAATGAAAACTGTGGACTGTGAGGTCTGTGGATTATCCACAGATGTAGCTCCAAAATGTCAGTTTTCAAAGCCACAAAATAAATGACCATCATCTCCAATTTAATGTATAGTGGCAGCAGAAATCAAATATTCTTTTCTCTCTGCTTCGAACTCAGTTGATGAGCAATCACACTTCTCACACCTACCAATCAGATTTTGCCTCAATCTCAAAGGGAGGCATTCATCTTTGCTGTCAAACTTGAAATAAACAGCCTTATATTATAGTGTTTTTTGGTTTCCCGCTTCTACGTTTGTTAATGTTAAACATAATTAAAAATAATTACACAGTTGTAGCACCTGGTTGCTGTATTGCAATATTGCGATGCTTATGGTCTACACTTATGTAACTCTCAAACAATAGTTTAAGCGGTCTGTGCCTACACACAGTGTGTGTGTGCCACTTACACACACACACACACACGCACACACACACACATACACACACTGTGTGTAGCCGGTGCAGTATCCTTATCTGAATCCATGGTTGTATACAGAATGATTATTTAGCTGATCAGCTGTAAATTGAATGTTTGTGAATGCTATGTCTTCAACATTTCCTATTGTGCACATGAAAATATCTAAATTTCTTTTCAAGCCATTCTTTCAATTAGTGTCTTCTGTTTGAAATGATTTGGATGGACTGATCCTTTAACTGCCAGAAGAGGAAAGGCAAAAGGGTCAGAAATCACTGAGAATTACAACAACCATCACTCAGAGTTTCACTCCACCACTTGTTACTCCCCAGATGTTGCTGGGTCATGAGGAGACAGCAGATGAGACATAAAAGGAACAAACTCAGATGCACTGATCGAGGACAAGCAGCAGTGCAGTAAAAACAGAATACGCCATGTCTCGTTTGATGCTGCGGATTTGTTGCCTCATCCACCACCACTTTGTTTGGGGAGTCAGGGATTTGTGGCCGGGGATTACAGCAGGCCACGAAGGCAGCTTCTGAAGCAGACGATAACAGCAGGCAGTTGCGCCGGCTGACAAGAGAGGCCAACAGTTGGGGTCCCACACATGCAAATCTGTGCAAGACACAAATTTAGCCACAGGATGGGACAGCTATAGTAGACAAGTGGACACTCTGTTGCACGTCATTGCTTGGAGTAACTGTTTTACATTAATATGCATACTAGTTCCTTTGTATTCAGTGGTTGAATCTCATTTGTTTGATATCCCCTTCTTTATCTCAAAGTAATCATATGCAACACACAGACTTCCTCTTCAAGTGTTGGTCAATTTAATCTTTTTTACAGAATGAAATTCACATCACTGAGTGGCCCCCTCCTGTTTAGAATGGAGTCTACTGAGGTGCAGACTAAAGACTTCTTAAAGATAGCTGTCAAAGAAAACATTCATGAAAATTAGAGAGAAATCAAGAAGGGAAAATACAAATAACTTAAAGAGACGATTTTACCAAAATAAAATAAATAATAATTTGTTTGCAGATTCTTGGGCGGTGTAATGAATTTTCATGTTTCATTCATACGGAACATAATGTCCCTTAGCCAGTGGCGACGGGAAGGTGGAGCCGGGCCCTTCTGTTTGGGTAAGATAACTTAGCGAGCTAATACAGAAGCAAAGGCAACTGTGTCTTCTTTTACTTCAGAGTATATGTAGTTCATCTGGAGCCGTGCCAAAGACAACACACAGAGGACCGCCGAATGTGGCTGCAAACACATTTCTGATAAAGCCCGAAAAACAAAAGTCCAACGTTCAGCTGTTGTGAGGCAGAACAAATACTTGTAACTGATTGAGACATGAGCACAGAGACACAAGTGGGGTACACCGCCGGGAATAGTGCAGGTTTGGTTTAGCAGCATGGACTACGTTGAATTTGCCCAAAACAAACAGACACATACAGCATCCACCTGAGAGCTACTCATATGTAGTGCTGTAAAGTTATTAAGTACATAACTAATGTACTTACTGTAAGTACACATCTGAGCTGTACTTGCACTTTACTTGAGTACTTCCATTTCATGCCTCTTTAGTTCATTTCAGTGTCAATTTTGCAGGAATAGTTACTGGTTAGGCTACTTTACAAATTAAGATTCAACATACAAAACACACAAAACACATCAGCTTATACGATGATGATGTATTGTTAGAATTTAAACAATATTCAAAATCAGAGCTGAAACAATTTGTGGATTATCTCAGTAGTGGATCGACAGACGCTCCAGTGAGGATTTGCTACTTGTCATGAATCACAGTAAACTGAATAACCATGTGGTTTTGAACTATCAGGTGAACAAAACAAGCAATTTCAACATAGCATTAGAGGTCTCTGGGAAGGTTTGGTGGGTATTTCTCACTATTTTCTGATATCTACCGACCAAACAATCAATTAATTCAGGAAATAATCACAAAGAATCAATAACTAAGATAATCATTACTTAAGAGCCCTATATAAAAACCGGAAAGGTATTATTGTATACATTAAGTAGCCTACATTTGGCTAATAGTTTATACATAATACATGCTTGAAATGTTTTTACAGTTTTACTTCCTCTTCCACTATCTTTGTCATGTTCTAATGCTGTTTTAATTGCAATGAAATGCAGATCAGACTATATTTAGAGTATAATGTGTGAAAGATTTTTAATTGATTTGGGGTGTTTGACACTACACATAATCACTGAGCAACATGTGAAAAAGTGGTACATCTTGGAAAGTAATAGGTTAAGAAAACATTTTTAAAATTACATTTGAATACAGATTTGTGGCTCAGCAGAGTTGGGCTGGGGCCAATAAGAAGATTTGAGTTGCTGCAGAGTTGTTAATTGGTGTTGCAGAAGACTTCAGATCTGTTCAGTGTCGAGAGCTATCCTGGATGTGTGCTTTTCTTAGATCTTGAACATTTATCAATTAAGCTGTGGACAATACCGTCATGAAATGTTTTGCTTTACCCATAATACATGGTGAACAAAACCCAAACAACAAACCAAGAAATCATGCAATAAAAGTCACTCAATTATACTCAGGCAAACACACACACACACACACACACACACACACACACACACACACACACAATCAATACAAGACAGAATAAAAGAACAGTCAATACATTAAAATGCATGCGCCCAATTAAAAGGGAAGCTAGAGTGCCTATAGGCAGAAGAGTTTCAAACACTGCACAAAACTCTTACACCTGTGTTGTACTATATGTTTCCTCTTATTAATAAATTACATGAAAAGTCCAAAACCCAAAATATCTCAGTCCGTCTCTCAGTTCTTTCTGACTTCCTACTTTGTGTGCAGCACATTTGTCCTTTGTTTTTCCTGCTGCAGATGTATATCTTCAAAAGGTTCACTTACATAGTTTCATCTTTTATAAAAAGGCTTACTTTGCCTTGGATATGTTAGTTTTCAGCCAATCAAACAAGAGTAAAAGGTGCATGTGTTGGATACTAATTTCAGCTGCACACATTTGTTGCTCTGCACAGCAGCAGAACAGTATATTTGGGATTGACTCAAAACAAACTAAAGTGCTCATGATCATTATAATGAAGAGCAAGTCACAGTGTGCAACGGAGTGGTTCATTGATGTGTTTTTGTTAGTTTTTGGTCTATGGCAGAGAGGAATTAATCTACATTAGGCCTACTTGTTAGTAGGATCAGTTCATTGTTGGTTTATTTGGCAACAGGAGATATATAACAGCCTTATCCTGTAAAATGGTGTTTGAAATGTTTTTCAGGTATAGCACAGAAAGGAACATTTACCTTAGTCGTTCTCTTCACTACACACACCAGCCTCTGACCTCCCAGTAAGAAACATATACCTCCATCAAATGTCACAGTGAGAAACTAGATTCAGTGCTAGATTTCCAAACCTTCCATGTGGAAAGTCAAAAGGGGGATCGTGTCAATTCTGGGAAAAGGGATTGTGAGGTGTGAGGCTAACCTTGCAAAGACTTTTTGCAAACCATCAGTCAACTTCATCTCTAAACTGGAGTTTAAATCTGTCAGAGCAGATGTCAGTACGGGTGGGTTTGAACAATCATCTCAATACTGAAGAAAAACCTTCTTACCTGATCTGACTGGTTGAACTGAAGTGTTCACTCTTGCAGAAAAATATAGGATGTAATTATAATAATTACACTGTTCCTGGCAATTTACCCACTTTCACCTCATATAATGTTGCAGCCATGTGGCAAACTGACAGACAACCTTTCATGGAATATGTCCGACAGGTATAGCTTACTGTTAAAGGTGCATTTTCCAAGTTGTGTAACATCTTACAAATTGTTATGGGAATATTATGGGATTATATCTAAGGAGAGATGCGTGTTTGTGTGTGTGGGGCCGGGGTAACGGAGAAGAGGGGGGGAGATGCATCATCAGCATCAGCGTCCATGACGTCACCAGAGTTTAAAGTGGGCCGCGCTTCACCCAGTGAAGTAGACGAGAGAGAAGAGGGAGGAAGCAGCTGCGGCTCCCCCTCACAACACATGCCTTCTTGCTCTGCGCCGAGGACTGAACCGCTGAACTCCTCAAACTACCTGCTTTAACCTACCTCTATACCTTTTGACTTTCTCGCTAATTAAACATGGAAGACCGTGTTGCACAGTGATCCCCGTTGAACCCTGTTTTCTCGAGGGCGATAACTTCAAATCTCAAGTCCTCCGAAGGGTGAGTTCATACGCGTTTCCCCCGAAAACTGAACGAAAAAAGGGCTTTGATTTCATTTGCAGAGGGGGCTAATGACGCTGCAGCAGGTATGTCACCACCATCGACCCTGCCTGGGTGATAAACAGCTTTGCAGATGTGTGTCAAAAGAGATAGGGCTTTTGTTATATTTGTGTTTGTGTATTATGAACAGAAGTAACTTGAGGCGCAGTCCTTTGGCATATACAAAGCGCTGCTGTTGGCTGGTTGATGTGACAAATTGTGCTTTCTATTTAATTAGGCTATTGGCGAGTCTATCCCATGGAAATGTGCGTGCTGTGCCAAAGAAAAGGGCTGTATCATCCCGGAGACTTTTATAATTCTGCAGACATGTATTGTGTTTTTTGTTGTTGTCTCTGCACGGCTCGGAGGCTGCGTGTTCTGCCAGGAAAACTATTAGTTTGAAGAAACCGAGGTTTAAAAGCCTGTTGTTGTGATGCAGTGAATGCTAATGCTGTGGAAGTGTGTTACAGGACGCATAAGCAATCAGTTTGAACTGCTTCATTAAAAGTTCAGATTATTTACGATAATGTTTTTTTACTGTTTCTGATAAGTAGTTGACTGTAGCTGATCACAATATTGCATTTCTTGGTTCACATTCAGTTATTAGATTTAATATTGTGATTGATTTTAAGTGACGCCTGTGTAACGCCAAAGTCACTTTGTCTGTCTTAATCAAAGATGCATTTGTCATGCAGCATTTTACACAATTCTGTGTACTTCAATGTCGAGGATGAGAGGGCAATCCAGCTTCTGTGATGAACATTTACATTCAGTCCAGAAAGAAGACCACATGCAGTATGTTATGTCATTTTCTAGCCACTAGATGACAACAGAGTGCAAGCTAAAGCAGCTGATCAAACTCGCATTAGTCTATTAGTCAATGAGCAGATCTGCACCATGGTTTAATAATGAAATCATTACTGCTGTTGATTTCCTTCTGTGGAAAAAATAAACAGACCAAGGTGGCATTTGTAAGATTATGTTTCACTTGTAGTTACATTAGGTACACACACACACGCACTTTGTTTTCCTTGGAGCAACTGAAGACCTATACTGTTGTTGTGCCCTGTTGAAGCTGCATACACTGTAGCCCCTCGCTTTGCATGGGTTCCCTGCATTACAGCAATTTGTCATAAAGTCATTTATCATAAATGTACCATGGCACTGCAGCAATGCAGGTTTTGTTTTGACCCTGTGACTGACACTTTGTGAATACAAGATATACATATAAGACCATGTTTACAAAAAATTCTGCTTTGCTTTGCTTTTTGTTTCTGGGTGTATAATGGCTTCTCGTTTAGTCTTTTATCACTTCCCAATCTTAACATCCTTCTTTCTTTCCCTCCTTTATAACTACACAAATCCCACGCACAAATAAATAATTCACATGCATGCAAACTCATGTTTGTCTTTTATATTAAGGAGTAAAACTATTTTGAATCCACTGAAGCAACACACGAAGCCAGTTGTGATTTTGGACCACCGTGGGCCTTTAGAATAGCATATAATATGGACTAACGGATCTCATCACGCTTTTATTTTCTTTCATTTATCACTTTTATGTCGGTGTAGTTAGGCTGTCAAACAAGTCAACTAAATCCACTAAATCCTTTTCTATATGTCGTTGCTGCCCTACTTTCTCTCAACATAAATAACCACCTGGTTTTCTGCGTTTGTGACAATGTAATCGTCAGCTAACCCGATTGTTTATTTAGCTTAAATAGTACTGTAATTTTCTCAATCCATCAGTTTATCTATTCAATTCAAAAATATATTTATTTGTGCGTGCAGAACATGTAAGTGGTGAAAAAGACATTTAGATGTATTTGTTTTTTATCAGACCCACATAGCTTCGGTCAGTCCGGGATGACATGCACTTGCTGAAGTGCTGTAACATGTTCAGTGAGCTTTAAAGCTATCTCCCCCTCCTAATAATGTGTCTATTCATCACAACTTGTAGGTTGTTGTTGTATTCCATCCGGTGGTCCATGCCGGGTTGGTTCAAGCTGTGATTTCATTTCATACAACTTTTTCCTGGGATGAGAGGTCATGCTGCTCGAAAACAAATTGAAACTCAGTTCAGCCTCAGTGGCTTCCGCTCTTGGTCGAGCCAAGGGCGACGTTTGCCTCAGAGACGCCGTGAATTCTGACGTTACTTAATGAGAAGTGAGCGGACACATCTTTGTCTCATTTTCTGAGCTCTTCCAAAGCGACGGCGCCTTCAAAGGCACATAAGTGGCTTGTCCATTTGTTTTTTTTGTGTGCACTTTACAGTCTAGTAAACCCTTTCAACTGGAAATCCTGATGTTTGGCTCAATCGATACGTTTAATTACTGCTGATTAATAAAAGAGTTTGGCTGTGGAAGGCAGACTCACTTCACAAGGACACGTTCTATCGGCAAACATGATAGGAATGTGATTTTACACAGTTAAAACCATTCACAATGTAGATTATACCTAATGAAAGACTATTCGAAAACAGTGCTTAAGTACAATGTACGTATCTGCTGGATTTAGAGGACACACTAATTCGTTCTTTAAATATTCAATGAATGCAATTAACACTTGATCAGATGCTGGTTTGGACCCATGCACGCTCAATAATCACTTAATCACATTCAAATTAAAAGATTTGGAAACACTCATCAGCACATATGCTGAGAAATAGTTTTCTCCACAGGCCAGATTATGTTGTTGGCAGTGTGAGGAGTCTCCAGCAGCATATCGAGATAAGCAGTGTATTCGGTGTGCAGGAAAATGAGTGGGTTGGGTCCAGTTCACAAGGTCAAATCATAATAGTCAGCTCAGCGTTATCAACTTGACACTGATTTTGAGAACTACAAGTGAACGCCTCAGTATACTGTAATATTTTCAGGCATTGTTTCTCCAGAGTTTGTTGTTTTGAACACTGTTCTCTGTCAAAGCCCCTCAAAAGTAACGGCTCCAATGACCTTTATTCTGCAAATTAAGCTGTTTTTGCTTTCGCGCTGACTGATGGATCTTATTTCAGCAAAAGTACATTGAGCATTGAGCAAATGCCCTGGAGCCACAGCAACTACATTAACAAAAGTTAATGAAATATATGGAGGCAGAACCTGGACTTTGCTTTACGTTTGAAAGCTATGGCATTTACATTTTGCACGCCTGTGGAGAGGGAATAAAAACAATATAACACAGCCTACACCCACATCTCTTATGTGTCCATGTAAACATATTGATGCTGCAGCCTACTGTATTATGTTTGACTGTAAAAGCAGACATAGGCTTGTTTAAGTCCTCTTTGTCATCATTTTTTTTTTTTTTTTTGTCTTTGTCTGGACTGTAAAGAAAAGTCATGGCCGTGCATGATTTGCATCACACCAAAGTTAAACAAGTGCAAAGTGATGCTAAGTTGTTAAAACAGCAAAGCTAGCTGGCATTGGAAAATGAGAAGAAATCTGCAATTTAGATTCAGCTTCAATTCTATGTTCGCTGTCCCAAAGGTCTGACCATGTCTGCATCTGATTACGCTTGCATGCATTTAATTAATCATTCGACAATGCACGGCATTGATGTCGGTCAGCCAACGCTCTGCAGGGGAATAGATTGCCTGAGCCTGATATCCAGCCACAGCCTCTTAGCGAGGAGCAGAAACGATGAGCTCAGGCAGATTTCAGATAGAAACTCCCGTGTGCAGCTGCGTTAATCCACCCTCCCTCAGGTGCAGCCGCTCCTGGGGAGGAACGCCACGGACTACAGCTCACCACCGATGCTTGGCCGCACTCTGATTAATGCACTCATCAGTTCTTTTCTTGTTTGTTTTAATGACAAGCATGTCCCTTGTGGGAATCTGGTGACTTTTTGCAAATACTGCTGATGCATCTGCTCACACCTGCCACTTTTTTTTTTCTTTCTTGTCTTGTGAAAGGACCGTTACCATAAAACCTGAGTCTTTTGACATGACTAGGTTGTCAGGCGGAGTGCAGGGAACCACACAACACATTTTCCACCGGAGATACAGAAAATACACGAGCTGAGGAAATGAGCAGTGATAAGATCTCAGCATGGTGGGATGTGTTGTGCTTTGTTGATAAGGCTATTATTCGTCATTATGCTTTAGACGGCAAAAATCCACTTCGTCATCTCAGGCACATGCTTTTCATGCTCACGGCTTTACATTTGCCGTTGAGTTGTACGGGTTTTATGACTGATGACTGTAAAGTTTTATAAATGATTTAATCACATATTTATACTGTAGATAAACCAAAGATGTTCATTGGGGCACCTTCAGTTTTGGCTAATCTTTTATTTTATGAACTGAGGTTGTTGAGCTGACGAACCGAAATACAGTCCTCTCAGAAACATACTGGAAAAAAATGTTAATTTGACAGCATCAAAGAGGTCCTGAGAGGCACTAAGAGGGCTTTAAAATGATAAGAAAATCAGTTATTGTGATTTATTTATAAAAGTCCCAAGAAATGTTATGTAGAAGATGATTCATAACTGTGATCAAAGAGTGAGGCCATTTTTAATACATACTAAATTAAGTTAAATACCCACTCCTATAAAACAAACTCATTTTGCAGCATCCTGCGGTGTGAACTTTTCATGGGTCTTAAATGTGTTGAAACTTCTCAGATTGTTTCCTTGTTATCGAACACGATTTAGTCAGAAATGTCACCTGCTAACAAAAGAAAGATCCAGTGTGTGAGGTTTGAAAGGTAAAATTGATTTAATACTGTTATATTATTATAAAAATGTAATTAACAGGAAAAGCAACCTGAACATGGTCTCTTGAGGCCACAAGATTGTTACGTAGACCGTATCACCAAGTACCACAATTATTCCTGTATGTCTGAGTAGGCTAACTGACACACTAATTATTTTTCATAATTCAGATTATACGGAAATTCTGCAGCATGATCGATGATGGACGATCATCATCCTGATAAATGCAGACGGGGAAGAGTTGTGGTCATGCC